TTAAACCATGTAGGGTGGGGAGGGGGTCTGTTTTCTGACTGTGAGAATGGAGAGAGAGCCCCCCTCAGGGATGCCAAGGGGAACCTGTGGGGTCCGCATACCTTGTTCCATGGCCAGGGACACCCACCCCCACCCCGCCCCGCACCACAACAGCCACAGAGGGGTTGGCAGTGTATGTGTTATGGCAGGGTCTGGCCAGGCCTGCCTGCCACGCATCTCTGGGTGAGTTTGGATCCACAACTAATCCACAATTACACCGCCCCAGAGTGAAGACGCCCTTAGACCTACACTTTGGGGGTTAGCGCTGGCCTCCAGGCATCAGTTTACCCCACTGGGTCCACCTCCCGAATGGGGTGGGAGGTGCTGAAGCTCCACCCCAGGCTGCCCCCATCCCTGTCCACCCACCATCTGGTCTTGGAGCTGCTCGAAGGGGGCAAGTTCTCTGCCCGGAGCCTTGTGCGGCAACACGTGGTCAGACGGCAGCTCCCAGTCAGCCACATGCTGCCAATGGCGGGTTACCAATCCCAGGGGGGCATTGGCTGGCCTGCTTCTGCCTAGAGTACAGGTGTGATAACAGGTTCCCAGAGGGGGCACGGTGGCCAGTTGGTGGCCCCTCGGCCTGTAGTCAGGCTCATGCCAGCGGGGAGGTGCACCTCGCTCTGAAGGCCCTGGCCTTCACACTCCACACTCCAGGGCTCTTGTCTGCAGGGCAGGTGAGGAATGTTCTAGAAAGACCACCACTCACGGATGCGGCGCTGATGTGGGGGGTGCTTGCTGAGCTACAGGGCGCTCTGGTGGTGCAGGGGCTAGGTGTCAGGGCGCCCCCCTGAAGAAAGGCCGTCAGTTTCTGTAAGGATGACAGCCCACGACGCAGGGGCAGCTCTGCTCTGTGGGGCGAAGCTGCTCTGGGCTGGGTAAATGGAAAGCCGGCAGCTTGACAGCAGTGGGCTGGGTGAGTTCTGGCTACAGAAACCCCTGGGAGACGAGGGTGCTCGAGGGACGCCACCCTGGCTGGGTGTGTGGAGGCCTCTGCCGCCCACTGGGGGCAGCGTGGGCCTCACTCGTGTTTGGCAGCTGCAGGGCTGCTCTTAACGTGGAGGTGACCACAACACTCGAATCTACAGCCCAGGGTCCTCCTGGGTGCAGGCCAGGTAGAAGGGGTAGCGCCAAGGCCAACCTAAAGAACGGGTCAGAGGGGGCCACCACCAGTGCCCATGTCACCGCGTGAAAAGCCTATGCATCACACCCTGACCAGGCACCTCGGAGAGCCCGCCTGCGGACAGGCTAGCGGAGGCCACCGCTAGGGCCCATGTCAGTGCAGGAAAAGTCCAGGCCCTGTGCCCTGACACAACTGCGGTGGGATGGGGAGGGAGGGGCTGGGCGTCCACGTGGTTCCCCCCCGCCCCCCCGTCCCCTAGCAGCTGGCACCTCACCTCTTGATGAGCTTGATGGACTTGAAGGCCTCGTCCATGTCCCCGACGGCGACGAAGAAGCTGAAGTTGAGCATGGCCTCCCGCGTGGGCCGGTCGCAGTCCTCCAGCCCCACAAAGTCCCGCAGGGGCCTTGTGCCCACCATCTGGAGGGCCTGGTTGGGCCCAGAGTCTGAGATGCCCTCTGTGTCTGCTTCCCCAGGCTGGAAAGACAAGGGGCACCCTTCCTCACAGTGGGCTCCCCCCTGCCTGCTCCTCCTGCTCTTCCCACTGTACCGCCTGCCCTCGCCTGCTCCTCCGATTCAAGGCCATCACAGAGGTGCTTATGCTGATGGCAGCTCAAACACACCCACGGCTACCCAGGAAAAAAGACGAGGCTTGGTACTCCCGTAAAGAGTTACGGCCTCAGAAACCCACAGGGGCAGCTCTGCTCTGTCTTACAGGAGCCCTGTGAGGTGGCATTGCCGGCTGGACAGCGGCGGGTTGGGTGGCACACTCCACGGGTAGAAAATGGCGTAGGTACAGAGAGGGCTTGTTTCTGCGGTCAGCCGTGTGTCCTTTCTCCAGCAAACCCTCAGCCACTGTGCCTGCTCATCCTTGAGCAGAAGGGGAGGGGAGGGGAGGAGAGCGAAGGCGAAGCGTGCCTCTGGGGAGGAATGGCGTCCACCCCCCCACCCCCGCCCCCGGGAGCCTGATGGAGGCTCTCACATGCCCCACGTGGAGCCTGAGGCCCCAGCTCTGCTGGGAGCATGCCGGGGCTCCCGTGGGTTCCAAGAGTTAGAGAGGACATTCCCCCACCCCTCCAGGAAGCTGGAGTGTTTCCATCTGGCCTCGAGACACGCTGCAGGCCAGCGTTCCCAGTAGATACAGCATGCCGATGTCCACATGCGATCCGACCCTTTCAATACCCAGTTAGTTTCCATTTGCTGTCGAGACAGGAGACCAGTCCCTAGAGAAGGGGCTGGTGGGATGAGGGCCTTTTTTAAAGATTCACACAGCCATGCAGGTCCCTACCCAGGAGCAGCAGGCATTATAAGCGGGACACATGTGTCCCAGTAAACCCTAGAGCCAGGGGAACATAGTGGGCCTAGTCTGTCCCTCGGGTCACGAAGGGGTTAGGAATCAAAGAATGGTCTACTCACCCGCCTGGCAAAGTAGTAGTGGGGCACGGAGACGCCCAGGAGCGCCTGGAAGGCGGCTGGCCGGGGAAAGCGGTCCTGCAGCAGGAGGCCGTACTCCTCAGGGACGAAGAAGGACAGCACCATGACATCTGCCTGCGGGCAGGGGGACGCCAGTGGTCACGGTGGCTCTCAGTGCATGCCTGTCACCTGGGACAGCTGGTACTGTGCTGCGCACCAGGTTCCCAATCCTCGGGGGAGAGATGTGGCTGCCGCTCCCATGAAGACTGACAGCCGCGGAAACTCGGGGCAGCTCCACGTGGTCCTACGGGATCACTGGAACTGGGCGCTTTGACTCACTGACTGACTTCGGGAGCTGAGACAGCAACATCCTTTTAGAACACGGTGTGTCACCAAGATGCAGGCATGGGTGCATGAAGCTCCTGTGGGATCCTCTCGGGGGGCCCAGGGTCTATGCCTTGGGGTTGAGCCTATATGCATGGGGGTCTAGAGGAGGCCTGGAGGAGTTGGACATGGACAGTGTGGTGGTAAGGGCGAGGGCAGTGACCAGTGACCTGACTGGGTGTCAGCAGGGAGCGAGACCAACAGAAGGCCGTCAGAGGCCACAGGAGTCTAGAGAATGAATCAGGGTTGCACCGGCTGCCCCGGTGGTGACCTCACAGTGTGCACTGCCACATGGCTAGTCCGCAGTGAGCTGTGTCCCGGGCGGGGTGGGGGGCAGCGCAGTAGTGGAGGTAGCAGGAGACCAGAGGCCAGGGCTCAGCGACAGGCCTGAGGGGAGGGCAGGCTGGCAGGAGAGCCGGCTCTCAGCTCTTCGGGCCCACTCTGGTTGACAGAGAGCCTGTTCTGGATAATGCTACTGTGGACCGGGGTCTGGAGGGTCTGAGCCTGACTCCCAGCTCACACTCAGGTCTGCACACGCACACACTAAGTGCACGTGTATGCACACGCACACACACAGGCACATGCTTGCACATAAGCAGACATGCACCCGGGTCTGTGGACAAGCGCAGGCATGCACACGCACACACAGGCTCGCACCCGCGCATGTGGCCAGCGTACCCTGGGCTTCGAGCCCTCAGTGGCGGGGGGCTGCCTCTCTGCAGCCAGCGGAGCCGCCGCCTCGGGGACAGCCTCGCACACAAACAGCCTTGGCTCACTCTGGTCCCAGCAGTGGCTCACGGGGATGTGGTGCCTCAGGCTCTCGTCGGGCAGGAAGCTGCTCCTGGAAGACAGGGCTGTGCTCCCTGAGGCGCCAAGGCCCCTGACCAGTTCTCTCACCTCTGCCCCAGACGCTCCTCGCAGGCTTGCGAGGCTGGAGGGAAGCCCGCCAGGTGGATGCTCTGAGCCTCTTCTCCCTGACAGGACATGCCAGGGGCCAGTGGGCACCATGCCCCCTAGATTTCCCCTCTGCCCCCGTGCACCCGAGGACCTGAATCCAGCCTTCTGCCCACGTGGCTGCAGCCCACACCAGATCCAAGTGCACTGCCTTCAAGTGGGTGCCGACTCGCAGTGACCCTACAGGACAGGCTAGAACAGCCCCTGTGGGTTTCCGAGCCTGAAACGCTTTGTGGGTGGGGTCGAAAGCCATGTCGTCCTCCCTTGGCATGGCTCGTGGTTTTGAACCGCTGATATTACAGTTAACAGCTCAAAGCATAACCACGACCCCACCAGCACTCCTTCCAGAGCCTGTAAAACACTGTCACGGGACAGAGCGTTGAGGTCAGACAGGGTTCTCGGTGGAGGGGGCTGGGCGGGGGAAGGCTGTCCTCAGTGACCATAGAACCTGCCCGTGGGGCCATGCCCTCCCTTGCAAAGACCCAGCCACGCCTTCCTCTGGCAGGGCGCTGCTTAACCGCTGCGCCACTGGGGCTCCTGAGGAAGGGAGAGTGATGGGGAGTGAAGCTGTCGTGGGAGTGGAGCCTGCAGGGTCCAGCTGGGGCCACCCTCATCCCGTGTTGGAGAAGGGCTGGGGGAAGCCCACTGAGAAGGGGGAGCTGCCAGCAGCAGCAAAAAGGAGATAAACACCCCAAACAGCTGCCAAGGTCGGCTGGCCTAGCACGGTGCCGCACAAAGGCCTGTTGCCCAGGCTGCTCTGGGCAGTAGCGGCCGGAGCCTCAGAAGCTGGGGCGCAGCCCTCTCGGGGGCAGCTGTTGGTCTCCCCGGTGAGTCAGACAGCAAAGACCGTCGAAGCCCCATGGAACCATCAGACCGCTGGAGTGGCAGACTAGGGGAGCATCAGCCGGGAGGAACTAGACGGTGCCCCTTGGCCACTGCCCACCACTCCGAAGAGTCCTGGGCAGACGGGCAGAAAAGCGGGAGGCACGGCTCAAGCTCACCAACGAGGCCAGGCTCCCTGGTGGGCCAGAGAGGATGGGTGCCTTGCTTTTAGGAGTTATTTTGTGATGCCCGATAGAACATGAGGCTCCAGTCAGCCTTGTCGTGAGGCGCTGTCCAGTCCATCACAGTCACAGCGGCCTCGTGGGCACAGAATGAAACACCTCCCAGCCCCGCTGTCCTTCCTGCGTTTGACCCACTGCTGCAGGCCAAGGGCGGCAAAGGTGATAAGCACGTAAATGCCTGGGGAGATTTTCTGGGCAGCAGGAGGAGGTCTGAGCACATGTCATGTCATGCGGTTGAAGAGAGATTTCTTTCTTCTAGAAACACGTCCCCTATGAACACAGGCCTGCTCTGGACACTTGGCACCAGCACCCACCCTGCAAGAGCCACACGACTGCGGAACTCACGTCTCATCAATTGTCTGAAAACTCGGAGAACGGTGGCCCAGCACAATTCCATTTTCGCATCCTCGTGTGCGGGGGCCAGCAGCTGCTCCAGCATTTCTGTCCCCAACAAAACCCCTCCCCCTCTGGGGCCCAGACTCACTTCTTGGTCTCTTGCCCGGTGAAGGTCAGCATCTCTCTCCGGTCAATCTGCCCGGTCCTCAAGTCCAAGATGGTCACCGTGTCCATCTCCACGTCATAGAAGCAGATTCGGGAGTCCGGGCTGCCATCAGCCTGTGGAGCAGATGGGGTGGAGGGAGCTCACCGGCCACCCAGCCTCCAGCCCTTGAGGCGGCTGCCCCACAGTCCAGAGGGCCATGGCGACGATCATGGATGCTCATCGGTCGCCCAGCCTCAGTCCTGGAAGCAGTCGGCCCCACCACCCAGAGGACCAGTCCAGGGTGGTGAATACCCAAGGTAACACACACACTCAGGGTCCCTCCCCTGGGGGTGAAAGCCAGCTGCTCCTCCCCGTGTGCGCCACAGCCGTGCACCAGTTTACATTCCGGAGCCACTGGCACGTGCTGGCGGTAACACTGAGGGGCGCAGAGAGAAGACGTGGGGTCCCCAAGGGCTGAGGAGATGGAAGGGAGGGAGTCGGAGGGAGGGGGGCTGCTTAAGGGGTGCTGAGCTGGGTTTGGGTGCTGCTGTGTTTTTAAGACCCATGCCAGTCAGCACCAGATTGGTTCTGTGGTGCCCCGTGTGGGCTGGATGAGAACTGTGGGCCCCAGTGGGTGGGCTACGCGGTGGGCTGCAAACTGCGAGGTCAGCAGCTTAAATCCCACAGCCACTCCCTGGGAGAAGGACGAAGCTTTCCAGCCCCGTGGAGAGCTGCAGCCTCGGAAGGCCACGGGGGCAGTTCTACTGACCCACAGGGTCACTGTGAGTCAACACCAACCCGGTGCCTGTGGCCCTCCCCCCGCCCAGGGACGAGCCTTCCCTCCCCACTCTTACCATCTCAGCAGTGGAAAGGACTTGTTAGGCCGTGACGGTCCTCTGTCTCGGACAAAGGACAAAGGGCAGGCGGCACGACACACCAGGTGGCAGGGTTGGGGTGGCAGGCGCCTGCTGGGCACGCACCTTGGTGAGCAGGAAGCTGATCTTGCTGCCGTTGGCGTTGCCACGCAGCGAGGCAATGCCCCCAACACCGGGCAGCAGCTCGGCCAGGCTCTTGCAGTTGCAGTGCACTTTGGCTTCTCTGTGGGAGGGCAGGGCCGTGGGCAGGGGTCACGGGGGAGCCCCAAGCCCAGCCGCAGCGTGCGCGATGCCAACAGTGCAGACCCTCTGCCGTGGAATTAAGTGTAGTTCCCAGCCGGCAGGCCGGGCGGAGGGGAGTCGCCCGCAGGCTCCCGGGCCCGGCCTCTTTGTGGGAGCAGATGGCACCTCTTTCTGCCGTGGGGCTGATGGAGGGCTCTAACTGCTGAGGCTCACGTAGCAGCAGGGTGCTTGACCACGGTGCCCACCAGAAGTCCTCTCGACACAGACCCACTTGCCATTGAGTCGACTCTGACCCACAGCGACCCTGCCGGTCTGTCCGTCTGGACGGGAGCAGGAACCCCTGACCACTGGCCCCCACCCGCTGCCCTCTCTCCTGACTGCTCTGAACCACAGCCTCCCTGCCTCTGGACCCCAGCTCCTGGGCAGGGGCCGCTGCTGCCGCACCTTCGGGAAAGATCGAAGCTTTTGAAGTGCGCCAGGTCGGTGCCCACCACCAGGAAGCTCCCACAGATGTCCAGGAGGCAGGGGCTGCCCTCGGTCTCTGAGAAGAGCAGCAGCTGTTTGACGGTGCCCTGCCGAGAGAGGGGACGCCGCTCTCACCCTGGGGAGAGGCCGGGTGGAGCACACAGGCCGTCTGGGGTCCTCGCCCTGGTCATGGCTAGCCACAGCGCCCTGGGAGGACTCTGGGGTGGGAGCTGCTGCCCCCTGAAGGTCTGCTGACCTCTCACGCGCACGTGAGAAGCAGGGACTCGAGGGGGTGCGGCGTGTGACAAGCTCGTGGCAGTCTGTGGCTGACGTGTGTGACAAAGGCGCCCAGAAGCTGGCATAGTCCAAGGGCCCGCCCACAGGGGAGCCGAGGGCACAGCCAGCAGGCACCTCACCTGCCAGGTGCGAACCTGGACCCGGTTTGGCTCTGTGGTGTAGACACTCTCCTCGTGCATCACGAGCACGGGAGACTCGCACAGGAAGGTCCCTGAAACAGAGGGTGGACATGCGGATGGCACCCTGCTCCCGGCCGGCTCCACAGCTCTGTGGCAGGGACGGTGGGGGCCACGGGCAGGTGGGGAAGCGACACTCATATTCGAGATGCGGGGCCTCCTGGACAGTGGTAGTCAGCAGCCGGTGCTCTCGCAGGCCCTGGTCCTAGCCTGGAGACTGGGGTGGGGCTCCCCACCTCTTTCACTAGACAGAGGGAGCGCCCCAGCACGCCCTGAGGGCACCTGAGCGGACTTCCACTCAGAACTGTCCCCATGGGTTTCCCAGGCTGTCGGTCTCTATGGGAGCAGACAGCCTCATATTGGTCCCAAACAGCAGCTGTTGGGTTTGACCTACCGACCTTGTGATTGTCGGGCCCATACCTGGCCCACAGCGCCACTGGGCTCCTCAGCATAGGGGAGGGTTGTGTAAAGGGTCCCTAAGACGGAGCTGGGAGGAGGACCTCCGGCGTAAAGGGGGCAGGGATGGGAGGGAGAGCGATGTCTGCCCCCTGGTCGGAGGGGACAGCCTTGTACCGGAGTTCCGCAGCTTGGGTCCTGAGGGCTCGAAGACCATCACCTGTTTCCCGTTCCAGACAGCGACCGCATCCTGCGAGGAAGAGGCGGAGGCCCAGAGCTGCTTCAGCTCCTCCCGTGTTCAGTGCCCGCCTCCTCTCCTCCTCGAAGGCCCTGGACCCTGGCTGCCGGCCAGCTGGGGGGGCCCAGGGCCTGTTGGCTTAGGGCGAGTGTCCGGTGCTTTACTTCATCCTCTCCGCCTTTCTTTGCTCTTTCAAACCTTTCGCTGGGAGCTGAGCGAGTGCCACGCTCTGCAACTGCTTTCTCCTCGGACGCTGGGCTCCCTCCCTCCTCAGCTGACCCCACCACTCTGTCCTGGGGCAAGGCTGCCCTTTGACCTTCAGTGACTGGGGAGTCTAACAGACCTGAGGGGTGACTAAGGGCCAGAGTCTGGGGCCCCTGGTCTCCTCCAGGGCCGTGAGGCTGTCCCGCCTCTTTCTCCAGCTCCATGCAGGACTTGCCAATGCAGTCCCTCTCGGAGCCGGAGACAATGGTGGAATTACAAATGCTTTTAGTGTCTCTGACCCCCTCTGGGAGGGCGTTGGTAGGAATGGTGGGGTGGCCCCATGACCCGCCCCCGGGGCCCACCTAGGCCCTCCGGCCGAGTCACCTTGGTGGCGAACACCCCGCTGATGTGCACATTGGTGCGGAGGTTGTAGGTGTGGCCGGCGGCGAGAAAGGCGGCCTGCAGCAGGCTGGAGGAGAGCTGCACCGCCGCCACCTGCTGGTGGAAGTGCATCGCCATGGCCTGCTCGCGGAGCACCACGACGGCCCCGCGGCTGCTCACTGCCAGCAGGTTCCTCCTGGAGCCCCACTGCACAGGGGTGGACAGAGAGGTGCCCGTCAGCGGCCACCCACACGCACGCCCAGGCGCTGTGCCTTCGAAGATAAAGCCTGCAGCCCGTGCCCAGGGGAGCCCAGCCCAAACCCAACTGCCAGCCATCAGCAATGATGCGGGCCCACAACGCCCCCTGTAGGGCAGGGTGTGGCTGCCCAAATATTGCACACAATGCAGTTTCTCCTCAAACCAGGCAAACTCCTGGCTCGTTAGCTTCCTGCATGGGCTCTGCGCGTTACTTGCACACGTGTGCCTTCATGTGGGTGTGTTACATGCAGAGGGATGCAGACAGTGCCCACTGCTATGCAGCATTGCAAAAGTACAGATGACGCCACCGGACTGCATACTTAACAAGACTTAGAGGGCAGATTGTATGTCTAATCTACGGCAACAAAGAACACAATGGTCCTCCGGTTGGAGGTGGGGCGGGCAGGTGTCTGTGGACTCTCCCAGGTCTCGTGTGTTCTGAGGGTTGGGCTCTGAGTGGGCTCCCGGTGCCGGTTCTGTGCCCCGGCGAAGATGGGCACCATTGCCCACTGGACTAACACTGTCATCCCTATGGCATTGACAGAAAGGGCCCAGGGGGCCCGTGCCAAAAGGTCGATGGTTCAAACCCTGCAGCAGCACCGCTGCTGCAGAAAGGACAGGAGTTCTGCTCTCGGAGAGAAGGACCCCGACTCGGAGCTGACTCCGGCACCGAGTAGGTCTCGCTCGAGTGGTTGGGTGCCCGAGGACACTGGCAGCCGTACCTGGATCTGTGTGATACTGCCCTCCAGCTCCACAGGCGTCTGCAGGACCCACATGTCCTTGCCCTCCATCCTGCAGCTGCTCACAGGACCGGCTGCTTTCTGCCACATGGTGACACGGCCTCTGTCCGTGCCGGCTGCCAGCAGACCTGTGGGGAGGGGGCGTGACACGCGGCATCAGCAGCGCCCGGGGGAGAATCCTGATAGAGAGGGGGAGTGCTGCAGCATAGAACTTCAAATTCACGTGGAATCTAGACATCGTGGGGGTCCTGGAGGCTGAACGAACCCCCCAAACCGCCGCCCTGAGAGGATCTTGAGACCTTCCACACCCCCTGAACGAGGAGACAAGGTCTGTCTGAGCCTGGGTGCTTTCGAGAACGAGCTCTATGGGCTCAAAGTGACAACAGCCAGGCGACAGGGAGACGGGAACTTCGGGGGCCGAGTGTGGACGCCCACAAGCTAAGACTGCCCTCGCTGTCACCAAACGGTGCACTTGGAGACAGCCGGGTCGGACTCCTACCTGTCTCATGTTCTCAACAAGGACAGGAGGGGTCAGACCAGCAGCAAGCCCCCTGCTCTGCGCACCTCTCCCCTCCCCGACACCCTCGGCCTCGCCTCTGACCGCACGGTGCTCCGCGGCGCTCAGCAACACCTGGCCAGGCAGAGTGTGCGACGGTGTAAGTGACTGTTTCTGAGTGTGTGTGACTGCGTGCATCAACGCATGTGTGGGTGTGTGAATGTGAGCATACGGAGGGGTGTGTGTGTATAAATATGTAAGTGTGTGGGAATCTGACAATGTCTGAGTGTGTGAATGTAGGTATGCGTGTGTGTGAGTGTAGGGATGCATGAGTAGCTATCTAAGTGTATGTGTGTGTAAGTGTGTGACCGGGTGTGGATGAGTGTGCTTGGGTGTGTACTTCCCACCCCATCTTCCTGGTGTCCCAGGAGAGACCAGGGATGGCCGTGGGCACCCTCCAGCTGGCCTCTCTGGCAAGCAGTGGCCTCAGGTGGATGGCACTGTCCCCCGTGGCTATGACCTGCCAGCCCCTAAAGCTGGCCTGGACTCCCTCCGGCTGACCGGCACCTCACCTTTGGCTTTGCAGTACGAGACGCAGTTTAGATTCTCTCCCTTTTCAATACCAAGCTTCTCCTCTGGACTCAGGATGTAATTCTCGCTGCGCTCCACGTCCCAGAGTCTGCAGGGGGTGGGAGGAGTGAGCGGGTCCTGTGCCCAGACCTCTGTGGGAGGGGTCCCTGGCAATAGGATGCGACAGACGGGAGACGGCCCTACCCTGTTCTGTGTTACACTGACAGCTGGGGGACCAGCCTCGCCCCACAGCCTGGCTGAACCCTGCCCCCGGCAGGGGGGAAGTAAAGCACCCACTTACACACAGCTCCAGGAATCAGGCGGGGGTCCCACCATGGGAGCACTCGGCAGGCACTTTAGGGCAGAGGGGCAGGGCACCTTTGTTTTGCCTTCGGTCTGGGGCCAGGGACTGAGGACCCCTGTGCTGAGAGCGTGCAGCTCCCAGGCCGCGGCTGCAGCATGGTCTCACCTGAGCACCGGCTCCCCGATGGCCATGACCAGCAGGCTGCCCTCGATCAGAGCGATGTCGGCCTGGCAGCCTGTCCTCCCGCTCAGCTTGACCTGTGGCAGGAGACAGTGCCCCGGGGGTTAGCGGGTCACTCCTGCTCCAACTGTGGTTCTCCAAGTTCCATGCAGGCGGCACACCCTCCGAGGGGCGCCCCAGCCCCAGGACGCGCAGGTGAACAAGCTCCCTGAGCAGTGAGCCACAGCGGACTCGTGACCACGCCCTGCCCTGATGGGGTGGAGACTTGAACCTGAGACTGACAGTGAGGACAGGTTTGGCACGGTCACCGTGTCACCACCCTCACCAGGGCCATGATCCAGCCTTGGGAATACCCAGGAACATGGCAGGGGACTGCTCTGAAGAAGCCCAGGGGTCACTGGTTAAGCACTGATCAGCTAGCCAAAAGATCTGCGGTTCAAACCCACCAGCTGCTCTCTGGGAGAAATCGAGGCTGTCTGCTACCAACAAGAGGGCCCTTAGCACCCCTGCTGGAGGGCTCCACTCTGCCCTGCAGGGCTGCTGCACTCTGTGGGAACAGAGTGGCTGTTGGTGGACTTGGGTTTGGGGTCCGTGGTCCTGGGCGGTAACCGCCAGGGACCCAGATTTGATTGCCACCCTCACCCACCTTCATGATCTCCTGAGCCTCGCCCTCGGGTGTCACCGTGTGCAGGGACAGGAGCAGTGCCTCTGTCACCACCACCAGTGCCTCACGGTGCTCGATGTAGAACAGCTTCTGCACGGGGCTGTCAGTGACCGCAATGCGGGTGGTCTTGCCCTTCTCGTCCACGTAGTGTACCGTGCCTGCGGGCCAGAGCGCACGTCAGCCGGCCCTGCGGGTGTACTCTCCGCTGCGCTCTGGCAGGTCACAGGTGGTGACAGGGAGAGCAACGGGAGCACGTTGAGTGCTGCCCCCAGGAAGGGGGCGACCTGCAGCTGCTGAGTAAATGGGCATTTGTGCTGGAGCCGCTCCAGACAGACAGACAGACAGAAAAGTGTCCATGGGTCTCCATCAGAGCAGGGCACCTGCCTTGATGCAGGCGTTCCTCCCACGTACTGGGGACACAGCCCACACAGCGACGCTCACTCTTGGGCTAACACACTCACAGTGACCTTCACTCTCGGGCTGACACTCTCACAGCTGCACACAGTGACACTCACTCTCCGGCTGACACTCTCACAGCTGCACACAGTGACACTCACTCACAGCTGGCACACCAGCAGCCACGGTGTGCGTCCCTAAAGCCCATCTGCTAGTTGTAGGCACTTGCCAGCCCCCCAGATGCTTGTCCCTCACCATCCACCAGGCTGACGAAGAAGGACAGCCCCTCCTGTGGCCCCATCTTCAGGAAGCCCCCGAAGCCGCTCTTCCTCCAGTTGAACATGTCCAGCGCCTTCTCGTCACCACTGACGGCCGCCTTCGCCAGCTGGACCAGGTCCCTGCAGACAAGGGCGGTGTGCGGCGTGAACCTGGCGGCTGCAGTAGGACGTCTCTCTCCCCTCCGGAGCCTCCCACATCGCACAGTGACTCAGTGCTCAGCTCCTACCCAAAAGGTCGCCCATCCAAACCCACCCAGGGCACCTGTGAGACTCCAGCCTCTGAGACCCTGGGGGGCGACTCTCCTGCCGGAACTCAGGAGCTCTGGTGCCTCAGACACTGACACGCCAGCCCTTACACGGGCGGGCTGGCAGGACAGAGGCCGGCCACTCTACCCACATCAGGTTTCTCTCCTGACTGTCCCAGCCTGCCACGTGGGGTGGGCGGGCCCAGCAGTGCCACTCACTCGCCGGGCGGCGGCAGCCGGAAGATGCAGTGCTTCAGGTGCTTCCCATGCTCCTGCCTCAGCAGGGGGGTCCCCTGCACCCGGCCTCTCTGGTCCAGACGCCACAACAGCAGCACCCCGAGCTGGAAAGACCAACGGCAAGTGTCGGTGGGAGCCAGTGGCCAAGGGAGGGCAAGGCCAGCGCCACAGGACACGGAAAG